TATACTAATGTTTGGGTTGATTTTCATAGTGCTGATGTGTTGACGATTTGTTTTGTAAATCGGTTAAGTAAGCTGTCAGAGAGATCAGAGAGATGAGTAATATCTAAAATCACGACTAGAGATGATATTGTCTTTCTAATTATTTTTCGACTCTCAAATCAAGACACACAATTCGCGGTCCTGATAAGACAAATATTTGAGTGAGGTTAGTTTTCCAACCAATCCAAAATTATTGTGGTAGAATATGATGTATCATGAGCTTATAGAAGATAAAGTACTAAGAGTAAAAGTGTATTTTGTTTAATCGAGATCTCTCTTACGAGATATTTATAGACACACGTGAGTCGGATATAGGAACGGATTTACTTTGGGTTAACCCGACTCATACGTACATTATTTGCTCTACAAAAAGGACCATGATTTCTGACAATCTTATTTCGGCTCCATGCTTTCTCGCTTCGGTGTACATTTTGTTATTTACACATGAGTCAGGTCATTCAATTTTGAAAATACACAGTATAGATACTTCAACACAATAGATGTCGTATGGGGTTGCGGCTAAAGCATCTCGGATGGATTAATTGAGTATGTTTTGGACCTCGCAATATCCCCCTCCAACAACTAAATAATAAGTATAGCAAGTAATTGAATTGTAAATATATGGATGTCTCCAATTCAATGTTCTTTTTCTCTTTTAATACGATTTTGTTTTCGTTTTGTGTAAAATAAATTAAATCACCCATCTAAACTCATTTTTTCATTAATTTGCTAATATAAATCAATTAATCTCATGACACTAGGAAATAGAGGGTGTCGTAGGAGCATATCAACGCTACGCAGATGGGTTACTTTGAGCGATGACTTGTCTAAAAAAAAGGAGAATTAATGCGATTAGATTAGAGACAGACTGTACAAGCTTGATAAAAATGACGGAGAACCCTTTTGATTGGCTAGCTTTTCATTCGGAGTAAGACCATTTTTATTCTTTTAGGAAATCTTTCAAGTTTTCTATTTGTCTTTTATCCTTTAGAGTAAGAATGTATGTGTTGATGCCCTTGCAAAAGGTGGACGAATATGTGGTTATCTTTTTTTCTCACGTAAATCAGAAAAATTTGAAATGGCTCTCTCCATAGGACAATCACCATACCGCAATCACCATACCGCTTTCAATTGATTTAATATATGAGATTCGTTG